CCTTGAGTCAAGAATATGAACTATTTCGAATGCAGCCCGGAGAATCCATTCTTGACTTACAAAAGAGATTTGTGCATTTGACAAATCACTTAATTGCTCTTGGTAAAACCCTGTCAAATGATGAACTCAACTTGAAAATCCTTAGATCATTGACTAGGGAATGGCAACCAAAGGTAACGGCAATCTCGGAAAAGAAGAGTCTCTCCGCAATGACTTCCGCTACATTATTCGGCAAACTTCAAGAATACGAAACGGAACTCGGTAGACTTGAAAAACATGAGAATCTAGAAAAGAAGTCCAAAAACATTGCCTTAAAAATTGATTCAAAAGAAGTGGTAAAAGAAGACAATCCGGAAGAAGATGAAAATTTCATGCTTCTAGTGAAAAGACTTGGAAAGTTTTTTGGCAGAAATGACAAAGGCGGATCTCATGCACATAAGAGAAAGCACTTCAAGAAAAGAGAAGCCTCCACATCAACTCAAGATGTCTCATGTTATGAATGTGGAAAGCAAGGACATATCAAGCCAAACTGTCCAAATCTCCCAAAGAAAAATGGATTCAAAGGAAAGGACTCAAAACAAAAGAAAGCCTACATAGCATGGGAAGATAATGATATGAGCAGTTCATCGGAATCGGAAAGCGACGAATGTGCAAACTTAGCCTTAATGGCATCGCATCACTCCGACAATGAAGAAGAGGTTAGTAATGAATTTAATCTTTTTGATGATGATGTTCAAGGTGCAATTGATGAACTCTTGAAAGAATGCAAAAGTTTATACAAAAAGGTGTCAAAACAAGAAAAAGAACTTCTAAGTTGTCTAGAAAAAATTGACACCATGACTAAAGATTTTGATCTTCAAAAACAAAATTTTATAAAAGAAAAGGAAAACTTTGCATGCTCCAAGTGTGAATCAAATGTCTTTCAAATTGTTCAATTGAAAAGAGTCATTGAACGATATGAAAAAGGACAAATAGGATTGGAAGGATTACTAAGCCAACAACGTTATCCTAATGATAAAAGAGGTCTTGGTTATGTGAATACTAAGAAACCAAGTAACAATCCCACTGTTTTTGTAAAGGCTAGTAATAGTTCCAATCCCAAGAAAGTAGAAAAGAAGCAAGTTGTTCATAATCATCAAAAGAAAAAGGCTAATGTATCTAAAAGAAAACAAATTCCTAGATACAAGAGCAAATTTGTTCCAAACTGTTTTTACTGTGGTATTATTGGACACACACCAAATGCATGCTATATTAGAAATTTCAGTATGGCTAGTGGACATTATGCATGGGTGAAAAAGGGAACTAACTATGAAGGACCCAAGGCAACTTGGGTACCTAACAAGAAATAATTTGTTTTTGTAGGTATGCTTGAAATCCACTTCAAATGTTTGGTATCTTGACAGTGGATGTTCAAAGCATATGACAGGAGATGTACACCAATTTTCATATCTAGTACATAAAGCCAAAGGGTATGTCACCTATGGAGACAACACCAAAGGAAAGATTCTTGGCGTTGGAATAGTTGGCACACCTCCATCCATTCAAATTGAGGATGTTCTATATGTTGAAGGATTAAAGCACAACCTTCTTAGCATAAGTCAACTTTGCGATAGAGGGTTCAAGATCAAATTCAACAAAGAAGAATGCCTTATTATGGATGAGGCAACCAATGAGGTAAAACTCAAAGGTATAAGATCTAACAATATTTTTGTGATTACTCTAGATGATTTGTCTATGAAGGTACAATGTCTTATGGTAAACAACAATGACGCTTGGTTATGGCATAAGAGGATTGCTCACATTCACATGGAGCACTTGAACAAATTGGTTAAGCATGACTTAGTTATTGGTCTACCAAAGATGAAGTTCATCAAAGACAAATTATGTAGTGCATGCCAAAAGGGCAAACAGACCAAATCAACTTTCAAACCAAAGAATGTGGTTTCAACAACAAGACCACTTCAATTGTTGCACATGGATCTTTTTGGTCCATCTAGAACAAGAAGCTTCGGAGGTAACATTTATGCATTAGTTATTGTAGATGATTTTTCCCGTTTCACTTGGACTTTGTTTTTAGTACACAAGAATGAAGCATTCAAGGCATTCAAGAGATATGCAAAACAAGTTCAAAATGAGAAGTCATCAAAGATAACATCAATCCGAAGTGATCACGGTGGAGAGTTCCAAAACAGTCTATTTGAAGAATTTTGTGAAGAAAATGGGATCTTCCACAATTTTTCAGCACCAAGAACTCCACAACAAAATGGAGTAGTTGAAAGGAAAAATAGGTCTTTGGTGGAACTTGCTAGAACCATGCTAAGTGACTCAAGTTTGCCTAAATATTTTTGGGCGGATGCGGTAAGCACGGCATGTTATGTAAGCAATCGCGTGATCATAAGACCTATACTAAAGAAAACTCCATATGAGATTTACAAAGGAAGAAAACCAAATATCTCTCACTTTCATATTTTCGGGTGCAAATGTTTTTTCCTTAACAACGACAAAGACAATCTCGGTAAGTTCGATGAAAAATCGGATGAAGGTATCTTTCTTGGTTACTCCCTTTCTAGCAAAGCTTTTAGAATTTACAATAAAAGAACTTTAACTATAGAAGAATCAATGCATGTTTCTTTTGATGAATCTAACACCTCCAAGGAGGAAGTTGCTATTTGTGATGATGATGATTCTATAGATTTATCTCATGAGATTTCCTGCGGAAGTTGCACCTTATAACTCATAGTGTTGCACTTTGTTTTAAGTTCATCATCAACAACAATGTTATGGTTCAAAAGCTTTACTAACTCATAGCTCATGGTGGTGATGAAGATGACAAAGAGTAAATATTTTGATGGTTTTGTTTCTCATTAAGTTTCACATTGAATTTTTAACCAAAATTAAAAGTCTTTATAAAATTTATTTATACATTGTTAGTTGTCAATTATATATTTAAATGATAGTGAAATAAAATGGACTTATGTTTCAAATCATCATCTGAACCATTGATATATCAAACCGGACAAATTGGTCAACATAAAATTTATTGTTTTAAAATCTTTAATATCTCAAACAAGACAAATTTATGAACGAAAAATTTATTGTTTTAATATATCACACTCACAAATACTTAATAATACAATTAATTAATAAAAGAGTTTACAATATAAAATATTATAAAACTTATGATTTATTATTGGATAAATTAACAATTACAATTCCACTCTATCTATTCTAAATATATTTTTTAAAACTTTTGTCTCTTCTCATACATATTTTAAAATTTCAATTGTAGGGTTAAATAAGGTGGTTTTCTTCCTGTTTCTATATCGCCCTCGATATATCCTCCTGTTTTTCTTCCTGCAAGCACATCCATTAAAGTGATTTTCCCCGCTCCACTTAATCCCATTAATGTTGTAAGTACACCAGGTGCAAAAACACCACTCACATTTGCCAAAACCTTCAACCTAGTTTCTGTTGCACCTTGTTGTCTTATAGCTTGAAAAAAAACAAGTTCATTTAGAAATAGTAAATGGAACAAAAACAATCAACGCTTTCTACTTTCTTTCATTCGTATTTTCACAAACTCCATTCACTTTTGACATATCAACGTAATAATTAACATTGTGGAATGCCATTGCCATCTTCATGCATCAACTTGACACCATATCATCTTCATGTTATTAACTTTAAGTGATATGCTGTCTAACGTGGTGTTTCATCTCAGCTTTCATTAAAGAAAATATATATTAAAAATTAAAAGTGTGGATAAAAACTTTAAGAGAATAGTTATTGGAAAAAAAGTTTATAGAAATTTAAATTATTTATAGGATGAAAAATATATTTAACCTTAATTGTTTTTTTAATATATTTTTAATTTTAATTTTATTTACAATTTATGATAACTATTATAATAAAAAATAAATTAATTCCCTCTAAGAGTAAATTTATATATATAAAAGTTATTATACATGCACGTAATTTTTTTTTTGTTTGGATTCAATTCTCGGAAATTAAAAAATGAAAGCACTTTCTTTTGAATTTGTAAAGCCTAAATTTAAACAGAAAAAAAAAACTTACAAAAATCATAACAAAATATATTACAGAAGCTAAAATTATACATAAGCATATATTGTTTGACAGAGCAAGTCTTCTATAATTACAAAACTTTAGACATAGTTTTTAGGCACGTTAAAAAACCAAAATTTAGAATGAGTTTATAATCTTTTTTGAAATAATTATAAATAAAGTTAATATTTTGTGATTGTGTCTAAATTATTTATATTTAATATTGTGACTGTGTAAAAATTAATTTCTCCGTCTTTAAATATAAGAGAGAAAAATAAAATCATATTTATTAAGAAAAATAAAAATATCATGATTTGATTTGTAGTTTTTTTTTATTTTAAATATAATAAAATGTAAAAATAATTTTAATGGATTGATAAGAGAATAAATTAAAAATACAGTTTGTATTTAATGTTATTTTAAAAAAAAAATGAAATTGAGTTTTTTTTTTAATATTTTGGTACGATAAAAATGTTTTTTTTTAATATTTTAGAAGGAGGGAGTATTTTGTTTCTCAACCTAGCCTCTATATACTCAAATATATGTTAAAATACATTATGCATAAAGTCTTTGTATTTTGTAGAGCAAATTGACAAACTATTTTAAGCATTCATAACAAATTATTTTTATAAGCAAGAGCAAATTAGATTAAATAAAAAAAAATATAGAAGGGGGTGTTCAAGCAAATTCCTTCTTGAAACTTCAATCTGTACCATAGATTAATATAAATTGTTTGAGTATATTATATGATAAAACAACAGAAAGGAAATGGTAAATTACAATTTAGAAACATTTATCTGCATAAAATCTTGGTTTTGCTTTTGTAATAAAAGCGAATGTACAACAGTTTACATTTCACAAGACAAAAAGAAGATTCTGGTTGCACTGTGATGCATTATAGCTTTTGAGTATAATAAAGTTGAGGATCCCATATAGATTTAGTATCCAGCAATGATTGGTGGAGGTGGTGAAGCATAGGAAGAACCAAAGTCAGGTGGGAGAATGACATCTTCGTATTCTGGAGGTGGTGCTTGAACAGGAGGAGGAGGTGACTGAGTTGGTGGAGGTGGAGAGTGGACAGGTGGTGGAGGTGAGAAAACTGGTGGGGGTGGGGAGTGGACCGGTGGAGGAGGAGAGTGAACTGGTGGTGGAGGTGAGTGAACTGGAGGTGGTGGGGAGTGAACTGGTGGAGGTGGAGACTTAACTGGTGGTGGTGGAGAATGGACTGGAGGAGGTGGAGAATGAACTGGAGGAGGTGGAGAGTGGACGGGTGGTGGTGGAGAGTGGACGGGAGGTGGTGGTGATTTTACCGGTGGAGGTGGGGAGTGGACGGGAGGTGGTGGAGAGTGGACGGGAGGAGGAGGAGAATGTACTGGTGGAGGTGGGGAGTGAACTGGAGGTGGTGGAGAGTGGACAGGAGGAGGAGGAGAATGTACTGGTGGAGGTGGGGAGTGGACAGGAGGAGGAGGAGAATGTACTGGCGGAGGTGGGGAGTGGACTGGCGGTGGTGGAGAGTGAACGGGTGGAGGAGGTGATTTGACGGGAGGTGGTGGTGAATGAACCGGAGGTGGTGGAGAATGAACCGGAGGTGGTGGAGAGTGAACCGGTGGAGGAGGTGAATGAACGGGGGGTGGTGGTGAATGAACGGGTGGAGGAGGTGAATGAACTGGAGGTGGTGGAGATTGAACTGGCGGTGGGGATCTTGTTCTTGTTTTGGGTGCTTCATTGTGAGGATCCTCTTCAGGTGGTGGTTCTGCTTTGGGTGTATGAGGGGTTGGTGTGGGTTCTGGTTCCGGCTTCTCTTTAGATGGGGTAGGGGTTGGCTTGGGCTCGGGAGTTGGTGTTGATTTAGACGGAGTTGGGGTTGGTTTAGGTTCCGGCTTTTCGGGAGTTGGTTTGGGTTCCGGCTTCTCACTCGGTGGTGATGGAGTTGGAGTTGGTTTGGGTTGTGGAATTGGTGTTGGAGTCTCACTTGGTGTAGAAGGTGAGGGTGAAGGCTTTGAAGGAGATGGTGTAGGTTGTGGCTCTGGCTTTGGAACTGAAGGTGATGGGTTCTCAGAAGGTGTTTCCTTTTGATCATTTCCATCACCATTACCACTACCATGACCACATTGTGCCTTGCTACAATCAACAGGCTTACTGGTAACCACATTACAATCATTTGCTTCCTTCTGTTTAGGCCTACCAGGTATACAATTATCCTCATCCTCCAACAAAACCTCTTTTCCTGGAGGCACACAACCTTCTTCTTCACCATTAAAATAATTATTAGAGAATGTAAAGTTTGCCAAACTAGGCAAAGTACACACACTCCTCGGAACAAAACCGGTTAGTTTATTATCTGCAATAGCCAAGATTTCCACTTTCTGCATTCCCTTCAAAGTCCTTGGCAACACACCAACCAACACATTTTCACTCACATCAAAAATGTATGCTGTTTCAAGATTTCCCACTTCAGACGGTAAACAACCGGTAAGGTTGTTGTTAGTTGCAACAAACTCATCCAATGTAGTTTTCATCTCACCGATGCTTGAAGGAATACAACCAGTGATCTCATTATTGGCAATAACAACAACCGATGCCGGGGAATTTCCCAGATTCTCTGGAATTGTATGTGTAAACCTATTGTCGTTTAAGAATATCGCGTCGAGTTTTTTATTAAAAAGCTCGCCCGGAATTTCTCCTTCAAAATTATTGAACCTAATATCAATAAATTTTACATCCGGAAGCGGAAGAAGAGGTTGAGGAAATTCTCCAACAAAACGGTTGTTACTAATATCAACCTCATGCAAAAGTACTAACTTGGAAAAACTTTTTGGAATAATCCCACAGAACCTGTTTGTGTTAATGTGAAAGAGAGCAAGATCTGTTAACAAACCAATCTCAGGAGGAATGTAGCCTGCAATGTCTGCATGATTAAGATCAATCCCAGCCACAACTTCGATTTTCGGATCATTAACAGAAGGTGCACAGAAAACTCCCTTGTAAGAACAAACATCAGCACCTACCCAGTTCTTGGTCACGCCTGTTGGATCAGAATAAATCGCTTTCTTCCATGCTTGAAGCGCTACATAAGCGCGTTTAAGATTGGGATTAGGAAAAGTGAATTCTGTTTTTACGGTTTCCGCGTAATTGTCAGGTAAATCGTCGTTTTCTTCTATGTGTAACAGTTGACGACGGGCGATAGAAAATGCTTCTTCATTGGAAATTGCGTGCGAGAATCTCGAAGAAAAGAGAAAGAATAAGAACAAGATAAAGCAGCCGGAGGCTTGCATTTTGTGACAATGCCACCAGTATACCTCCAAGGTTGCTTATAAAGAGGTAAGTAAATTAGAAATGGTAATAATTATTTTTGAGAGAGAAAGAAAACTTGTGTTTTAAGCCATTTACGAGAGGCTATGCAAATATTTCTGATTCCACGATGGGAAGAAGCTTTATACAAAAAGCTGGTGACATAAAATTAGAAGGTTTGTTCTTTGTCTCATATTCTCAACCCAGCGTTGTCATGTGTCTAATTTTAGAAGGTAGTTTCAACCATGGTTTTGTTAGGCTTAATTTGGCAAGTAAATGTTTCATTACCTAAATTTGCGATTCATGTAATGCATATTAGAGGTTAATATCTAAGAGGAAAATAAACCTATGATTATTTGCATGTAGTTTTGATTTTCTAAATTTGGAAGAGTGTAACAAACACTTATATTTTCCTATTTGCTCTCACTGGTTTGCTTGTTTTTCTATATATAACTTAATTTTATACGAGTGACAAGTTTCAGAAACTATTTTGGTCCTTTAATTACTAGTAGTTTAATGATATAAATTTGATAACCATTTAACCAAGATTAAAAATGTCTTATTATTACGATCTTTAAAATAGGAAGAAAAGTTTAGTTTGCATGGAAGTTCAACAAACACGTCAATAAATTTCAAATATACGTTGTACCAAAACAAAACAAAAGTCAAATATACAATGTATGTTTCAAACTAATTGTCATTCGAAAAATTTAAGAAAGGAATACTTATTTCACATAATAATTTTACTAAAATAATCATATTTGTTAATAAATATATGCTTGATAATATTTTTAAAAAATGGAAAGTCACGATAAAAACTATATCTGAGTCTATAAAAATTGTGCGATAAAAAATCCAATAAAAATTAAAGTGGCACGAATTGATCTGTGCTATGTTAACAAGTGGAATATGAGACCACTTTCTTCTTGATAAGAAAACGCAGGTAAAAAATTTGTTTAAATGAAATTAATGAAAATTATCAATTCAACTTTTACAAGTGGGATGATAAGTTATAAATTTAAGTTGGTGTAACAAAATTTGTGAAAATAGTCAAACTCTTTTTTTAACTAACTAAAATGTACATAAAATATAAATAAAATAAAAATTAAGTTAATTTAAAATTTAACATCCTCAAACTAGAGTGCATATTAATGATTCCAAATTTAAAAACAATAGCGCATTACATATCCTCCTTTAGTGAATATATCAGCAACTTGATTGATTGAATCAATAGACTTTAAATGAATAGTACATTAGACTTTGTTACGAATTAAATGATAATATATTTCGATGTGTTTTGTTCTATCATAGAATATTAGGTTGATAGTAAAGTATATTGCACTTTGGCTGTCACTAAAGAGGCAGACTGGTTAGGGATGAAGGATGAAGAAGTTCTTCATGAGGTATAAAAGCAATTGAGCTTCACAAGATATATTTGAGAAGTTGGGTACTCTGCCTCTAAAGAGGATCTAGAAACAACTACTTATTTTTTTACTTTTTCAATTAACGATGTAGATGCCAAAATAGAAACAAAAACATCTATTTGATCTTGTTAGTGCAAAGGGTTGAAGATGATGATAGAAGAAGAGAGAAAATAGATTTGTACCCAACTTTCAATGACGAAGGAAAATCAAGGAAATTCAGTTACACTCTCTCTATTACAAAGTGATTTTTTTTGTTACAACTGAAACTTGAGTTTAGTATTTATACTGCTAGAAGCAACTAAATGAAACTCTAATTAATATTGAAATGCAAATGCCGAAATTAAATGTGTTGAATTTGAATTACACTTCAATACTATCCCTTAGTTCACATTTAAGACTAAAGTCAACAACACCTATTTCATCCCTCAAGTGGACGAAGTGTTCATTTTTGATAGTTTTAGTCAGAATATTTGCAAGTTGTTTCTAAGTGCTATAGTGAACAAGTTCAAACATTCCATTATTAACCTGATTGTGAAAAAAATAGAACCTTGTGTCAATGTGCTTGTTTCTTATAGGCCCAGATACCGATTTTCTTCCCCCTCGCCACAATCTTGATGAATTACTTCCTCATGGAACTAGAGCTCATCTCATCTCCGCCTCTATATCACATGCCATCTTCATGATTTGGGAGCGAAGACGTGTGAACTCGCAGATGAAGTTCAGATCGAAGCCCACCCAAAAAATAACCTAGATATTGTTCCTCCGACAACCTCCCTACCTAAAAAGAGAGGAATTTGAATTTGATGATGTACTCCTCCAATGTCCTTGATTGCATCAAGTCTTTCAGATCCTTATAGGGATTATCACTCTTTTGTCCATTGTACCTATTGATCAGCGCATCCTTTAACTTTCTCTAAGTGAGATCGTCCTCTGTCTCTCTCTACATATTGAACCAATGTATGGTTGAACCCTTCATACTTAACTTAACAAGGTTGACCATAGAAACTCGAAATAGGTTTTAGCCCTGGTGATCCATCCAACAAGATTGTTTTCGTCGAATTTCGGTAACTTCGCCTTCTTGACAGCCATTTTGTATTCGGATGTGGTGTCCTCAGTGCAAGAAGACTTATCTTGCTTCTTATCACCTTTATAACTCTTCAATTTCTCAAGCTTTGCCATCATGGATTGACGAAAATTCTCCAAAGACTTCATCGGTGTTTCCCCATTGTCACCATCTTTGTCTCCACAACTTCCATTATGTAACTCATCTTCGGTGGCATGGACCAATTACACTGGCTCACTCTCTTTAGATTCGATAGGATGGATCAATGATAGAATCAAGAAGAGATTTTATGAAATATAGAATATTATTGATGAAAAAATGAACCCTAAATTAGAGGGAGAACCCCTCTTAACAAATTCAATAGTATTTCTTGCGTACCCTCCTTGCCCCCTACGAGAATATTCTATAGGGACATGTCATAACCAACTCGCATTCTCTCATATTGGGTGTTTGTTAGAAAAAGACTTTGAAATTACAATAGGGTCCCTATCACTACTGTTGATGGAGAACTGGGCATTCTGCAGTGCAGGGAGAATTGGATGAACAACTTAAAAAGGAAAGCATGTTGAAAGATGAATTTGGATAAGTCTTAATTTGTTTTCAGCTTTTCAATTGTATGCTCCTTTTGGATTTTAAACTTCTTGGCATTTATATATATTATCATTCATCACGGTGAAAACACGGTGAGTGCATTGCAACACTTGAATATATATAAGATTGAAGATCTTCCACATACATCTAGTGTTATTTAATATTTACACTTTCTTTCATATTATGGCTTCAATTTTGATAGTAAAGTCAAATTTTTATAAACTGCTGATACTATTCTCCTTTTGTCTTGGGATGACACTTTCACTGTATGCTTGTCACAAATTGTATAGCAATCTTGAATGATCAGCCTAAATTGCAGCCTGTATTCTTGTATGTCTTAATTTTTCAGAAAGTTTCAATTTTTTCAGAATATTTTTTGGGAGCTATCTCCTTATAAGAATAAATAGCTGCCAAACTTTTCTTTAAAGAGAGAAATAGATACAAATATTTCAAATGGCGAAATCATGTAAAACTTAAATGTCCTAAAAAAATATTTGTAGGATAAAGAAGGAAATTGTCAGTAGTACTATGTAGAAAATTAATAAATGAGACTTTCAACAAGTCTTGAAGAGAATTTGATTAACTAAGAATCATTCCAAACACACGGGTCGGATTATAGCATATCATTTTCTGGGACAAAAATTTCTAAAGAATTGCAGCCAACATTCTACATCAAGAAAAATTAGTAATTGTGTTAAATAAGACCAAAATATTGAAAAACTGCAATTGATAAATAATGAAACTTAAGGAAACTGCATGGCTGCTGCCAAAAGAAGTATACATTGGAGCACAGCTCTAGTCAGAAAATAGTTATGTAGGATTTAATCATTAGGTAACAATCTTCTCATACTGAAGGTCTCTGACATGCAGAAAATAGTTGCCAACTTATAAAGGCCATCACCAGGGATGTGAAGAGCTCAAAACCTACAACTTTGGGAAGATGCCACCCCAATCCACGTCTCAAGTAGCTGCAGAAGACACAGTTTAGATAAGACTACAGTAAATGGCACATAAAAATCCATGTTATGGTTTTCAAAATAATCACTACCAAGCAACATGTCTAATAGACCAGTGCATGTATTCAAAACAACAGGCCTTTTTATCATGATAGAATATTTATGCCATTTTGGCAGGGATATATGAGAAGGTAAATGATACTCTCACAGTTTCTAATTATAAGCAAAAATGGGGCAAAGAAAGATGATGCATTTGACAGCAATAGTCAGGGAGGTAGAGGTTGGCATTTTCAATTGAATTTGAAGGTTTTATGTTTGGTTTAGATTCAAAATATTGATTTTAAAGATAAAATACTGTTAAAATTAAAATGACAACAGTGCATTTTCACGTCACCGTCATAATAAGTAAGTGTGGTGAGTTAGTTGTTAAAGACCTTGTGATAGATGGCATGGTAGCTACAATCACAGCACATAAGTATATAATAGGAATGAGGGTCTTGGGTTTATTCTTTCGGAGCCACATCAAAGATCCAAGTGCAGCGAGGGATATGCTCAAAACCTGTACAAATACAAGTGCAAAAACATTTAAGATTATAGATAATAATACATATAAGACAAACCGCAAGCAAATTGTTATTTGTTCAGTGCTTTCACCCATACCAGAAAACATTGACAAACTTCTGTATTATTTCAATTAATGTTGAATTATAAAAAGATCCAAACTCTAGAAGAATATTAGAGACAAAACTATTCAGTTTGACTTAAAGACTGACTGACTTGGCAGTCACAAAACGTTATCTGAGAGAGAAAAGGGACTTTTAACAACATACCAAATTTGCATTAGCCTCTAGACCCTGTAAAATGTACTCCCAGGTAAATTCTAATCCTCTAGCACCAACCCAAAGAGGAGCCAACCTATGCAGTACAGAATCAGCAAACGCCCAGCCTAC